GGTGACCGTGGCCCGTGGCCTGGCCATGGCCGCAGGCGCGCGGGGGCCGTCGAGCCGGGGCTACGCGCAGGAGCGCAGCCGGTTTGCGGTAGAGCGTGGGGACATGCGTTTGTGTTGCTGGCTGCGTGTACTAGGAGACGGACACACCGCACGGCTGGCTGCCACGTACTCACTGCCACCCAGCACTAAGAAAAAGAGCAAGAAAAGCAAAACAAGCCAAAAAAAGAAAAGAGATGAAAGGGAAATAGAAAGTCAGTGTGGGGGATTCGGAGCTAAAGGACTGGGAGGCGTTGTTCTCCTGAAGCGCTGCCCGCGCCTGAGCTGGCAGACGTATCACCCTCGGTGGCCTCAGTCACAGACGTGTCTGGGCCGTGAACTGACATAAGGACACCGGAGGGCGACTCCGGTGAGGTGTCGGCGGGCAGCTCTACGGCTTAGGCGGTTACCCCCATTTCTCTGCGCTCCTCCCGCCTCTCCACAGCGCACTGAGGTGACAGCTCCATACCGGCCACTGGGCCTGGGGCTCGTGAGCTCAGAGGACCCTCCCTTGGATGATTTGATGGCTCAAGGCAGCCACGAGGACCGCGAAGGGCAGGAGGGTAGAGAGAGGGGGACTGAGGCAGGGTGTGTGCGTCGCTCTCTGCCAATAATTTGGGGGGATCTCCACCCGTGAGAGCTCTCTTGGGCGAGCCCCCTACTGACCCGTGGGGGGCGCCCCAAGGGCTCAGGGCGGAGAGCACAGGTGGAATTTCCACGAGATCCACCCAGCGGCTGGAACCGCACCTCCCGGGTGCCACGAGCTACAAGTTGTCCGCATCTGCCCAGGTCCGCAGTTGCGGACAGCGAGGGACCTCGGGAGTGCAGGGGCCCCCTATCCACAACCTTGAGCCCTGCCGGGGTGGCCCAGGGCCTATGGTCAGGTCTGGGACCTCGCCGGCTCCGGGCTAATAAGACCCTGTCCCCAAGCCGAGGTGGACAGCCGGTCATGTGCGGAGCTGAAATTGGGATGGGGTTGCAGAAAACTCCCCCCTCCTCTGTCCTGGAGCCCTGAACCCCATGCCCCTTGGCCGTTGTCCATGGTCCGCAGCACCTAAGGGTGGAACCGGGGTACTGTGCGGAGACGGGGCGAGCCGGGTCTGCACCCCAAACGCCGGGAAGGCTCGGCCAGACTCCGGGCAGGAAGGAGCGTGCGGGGTAGGAAAGGGCGAAGCGCTTCTCGACTTTTCCGTGATGGCATCTCGGGGAGAAGGAGGGGGTCGGGTGACAGTGGAGGGGTGGCGGGCTGGAAGAGGGAGCGACACCCGGACAGGCGCGACTTCCAGGCTGCCTTCCACCTTCCGCGGGACTCGGTGACCCGCGGAATCGCACCCCTGCCCCGCGCGGCGCGGCGCCTCATCTGCCCCTTCGTGCCAGACCCGCCACTGCTGCCCTCAGCCCGCCAAGCCCTAGAAGCCAAAGTTTCCGTTTGAGAATCTACACTTGCGGAGAACCATCCTCCAATCTCCCAACCCCCGACCCCTTCCGCGCCCCGTTGTGGAGACCGGGAGGGACCCCGCCGTGCCAGAGCCCCTGGCGCCGGCAAGCAAGGCGCTGGCCAGCGCGGTGCTCTTACCTGCCGCGGGTTTGGCTCCAGCTGCCTCCCTGGCTGCGATCTCCTTGGTGCAGGCTGGCAGGAGCGAGGAGACCTTCGCTGGTTCAGGGCTGACCGCCCCGGCGCAAGCTGCGCACGGCTCAGAGTCCGAACCCAGACGCCAGCTCGCTTTCTCCCAGGATCTTGCAAGAGAAAAAGGAAGAGATTAGTTGGTGCCACGACACCCAGAGGGGTGGGGCGGGGGAGGCGGGGAGTGAGCTGACCCAAAGGCTCAAGTGAGAGCTGGGAAGCTCCGGAGCGCACGAGCAGAGTCGCGCACCTCACATGGGTCCCAGCCACTTGGCGAGTTAGGGTCCCCTCCGCGGTTTAGAATGAAGTGAAGCAGACGCTGCCCCCGCCCTCCACACCAAACCACCCAAGGAGAAGCAAAAAAGACTTTCAAACCTGGCTTTTACGACGATGAATCTGGAGCGCAAAACAGAACCCAGATCTGGATGGACTGGCGAGCTGGGCGGGATTCATTTCTTCACCGAAGTGCTTGAGAAAGTAGTAATTAGAGTAGGAGCAACACCTACTTCGGTGCCTGTGGCTGTTTCCTAGTGGGATCTGCGGTTTCAAGGCTCTGGCCAACCCGCAGGCTGGCGTGTGTGCGTGTACGTGTGTGTGTGCGTGTGTGTGTGCGCGCGTGCGCTCGCTGGAGCGGGTCTCTGCATCAGGCGCCTTTGCTATGGCAGGAGAGAGGATCGGTGTTCGTGAGTGTACGTTCGATTAGCTGCAACGGGCGGACAATTTCTGGAGAGCACATTTACAATTTTCTTGCAATATGACAGGATTAGTTGCTGTTGAAGGCGCTCCTCCAATGAAATCTTCTCTGCTCTCTGATTTGGCGGTTCTTCTGAGCAAATATGACAGCCTTTCCTCCAGGCGCCTTTCGGTTCCTCTCCACATCCATCCACAGATCCCAGCTCTCCATCTGCAATTTCCAAATCAGAACCTTTACAGTTACCACCACCACCACCACCACCATCCAGCCCCATTCCTGCAAGTCTATGATTGCTATGAAAGTGACAAGACATACTGGGAAGAATGCAACGTTGCTTTTCCTTTGCAGAAGGTGCTTAAACCCAGTTTTTCCAGGTGGGGAAACGCTAGAATAAATCCACTATGCTTTGTAAACATGTAAACCTGCTAAACTATTCCTGGATTGTTTATTACCCCGGGACACTGACAAATGTGTTAGAGGAGAGAGAGGTTTTTTTTTTTTTCCTTCTTGTTTTAAATGTCAGTCGATGCCCATGTTTTCTTTAACAGGCGATAGATTACAAAGTATTGTGCTTCATGGAATTTTTCATATCTCCATGAAAAACATTATGATGCCAACTTTTTGTGTTCAGATCAGCCTTAGATTTTTATTTCTTCATTTTAATGAGAAATTCCTTCAAAAAGTACTCATCATTTTTAGGTACTAATCCATTTAATAAAGGTACAATGATGGTTCTAAAGCACAGGACAAGACTTACTTTTGTGAAATTATATGTATATATGAAGATAACACCAAATATGGTAGGTTATACAGGCTGCATTTTCTCTCACCTACCCTCAGCAATCAAATGAAAAAAGCTGAAACAAATTGAATAATACAGAATTAGAGGCATCCCTTTTTATAACACAAAGACAGACAAAGAGCAGGTTAAAGATGCATTAGTTTAATATAACCAATTAAATTCAGCTCAATTCTCCATGCCCAAGCCTTTGCTAAGTGTCAAAGAGCCTAGAGAATAGCAAAGGTCACTCATTGTCTGTTCTTTATAAGGTCCAATCCTACTGATAAGGTCCAATCCTACTGGCAAGGAAAGACACTCATATGAAACACCTACACAACAGTTGACAATCAAGATAATTAATTATGTAGTAATAAAAGTTCATTGATAAATGGAAATCCTGTAGCTCAAAGTTTCTGCCCTTTTTGTTAACTCAGTTAACACCAAGCAGGACTTGGCATAAACTTAATTTTGCTCGACTGAAGTCATCCTGAAATAATGCATTATAATACCTTCGGCCTCCATGCCCTCACATGCCGCCATCACCGGGAGATAAAATACTTATTAGAAAATCAAGACAGCTCTGTTGAGTCTTGATCTCAGCCTCCCCCAGCATTTGGTCCAACACATCAAATATCTGATTTCATCGTTTATTCTCTAGATGCTCTTTTGAAAATGAATCCACATTTTCCTTCCTTACTCCATTATTTCTGTCTGTTAAGCCTCCGTAAATCCATGGAGTTGCTTGAATCTTTTTTGAAACACACACACACACACACACACACACACACACACACACACACACACAGCAGAAAAAGAAAGGGGAATGAATCTTTGACTGGCAAGAGAGAAGAGGAAAACTCAATTACCTGTCATTACTTTGTTTTTTCATATCATTAGTGCCTTCTTACCAACAGGACTACCCATTCCAAAAAGAGCGACAAAGCAAAAAAATCAATGAAAGCTAACAAATATTTTCTTAAACTTGAATAAAACTGAGTCCATGAGTAACTGCATATCTATGTCAAAAAGAAGTCACTATACTTATGGCTTTTTGGAGAGGAGCTGGAAATGGACTGTTTGCATTTTTAGCAAACAATCAACAATGATGACCATTGTCTTCTTCTAGGTCATCACTGAAAAAAATGTTTTTTATATATACTTGTAGTTGTGCCACTCAATATGTAATTTTGGAGAAATCATTTAACTGATCTGTGCCTCTGAGTCTTAATCTGTAAAAGGGACACAGCAATATCTCCTGGGTTGTTATAAGGAATAACAGGGTTAATTCATGGAAAGGTTTCAGAAGAGTGCATAGCATAAAACAAATAGCCTTAATTGTTAAGACTGTCAGCCAGGAACTTAAAGCACTGATTCCTGAGTCATGCATCTGACTACTGAGTTGGAAAACATTTAGGTGTGAATCTTGACAATGAAAACCATCAATATCATGTTAAACACTATTCGTCTTAACACTAACCCCAAGAAACCCGATTCTTTTCCCCTTCTAGGTTTTTATTCTATACAAGATCATGTGTATTCTGAGCATTTTATTGTTCTCTCTTAAGACAGTTCGTTTTCTGAGATAAAAAGAGTACTCCCAACCCTAGGAATACAGCGTTTACATTTATTAGTAACCCATGGTGTGGAACATTTTCAAAAGTGCTTTTTAAAGACTTTATAGAATGTATCTATGGGTTTCCCTTTATCTACATGCCTATTTTCCACCTCAAAGAACACTAATAAATTAGTAATTTCCGCTTGCGAAGCCAAACTTCATTACCTACAACTTCATATAGCTAGTTTTAGGCACGTGCTGAAAAGCTCAGAGGCCTGGAAGGGATGACTTTGAATCTCTGACGGAGTTCACTTTTGAATGAGCCTGGAAATAAGGTCACCACTAAGGTGAGGAGATGGGGAATGACTGACGGGTCTCATCCACGGGAAGGTGGTGCATATTTTATTGTGTCACGTTGATTTCAGCGCAGCAATAATTAGCCTCCAGTAATTGGATGCGCAAATCAGCACTCTATCATCATAAGTGGATTAAGAGGGTGACAAGTTCAACTTGAGTGATTTCCCACCAGGTATGGCGGCCCTAACATTTTCTTAATTTTCTGCTTTCAAAGAATCAAGAAAATGAAGGTGAGGACTTTGCCTTTACGGGGAAAATGAGCCAAGAGCTAGAGTCCTTCGTCTCCCACTCACACAAACTGTTCAAGAGTTAAGCTAGGAAAGCATAGCATTTATCAGCAGGACGTTTGGGAAAGACAGGCTGATGTACCTGATGAACATGAAGAGGTTCAGAAAAGGCTTCCCCAGGATGTGCCACTTTGGCATGTGGATTATTTTGAGCTAAAGTCAATTGAGACCTTGCGGGCTCAAGATATGCTTTTACCTTCCCTTAAAGAATTAAAATTGCGGGCCTTGCCTGTAATAAGAGTTATCATCAGAAAGAAATTTGTATGACCTATCTGTACGGCAGAGCAAACATCTAATTACTGGACATCTGTTCCTCTTATCTTCCTGTGAATTACCCACCTCCCCTCTGAAGCCCCAGGCTTCCATCTCACTTCTTGGCTCAAGATGGCACATATACGTCACTTTATCTTTCTGTCTTTGAACCTCTCATGTGTAGGGGGTTCTTGTACATATGAAATTAAGTTTGTTTTTCTCCTGTTAATTTATCTCCTGTCAATTTGATTATTAGACCAGCCAGAGAACCTTTGTGGGGCAGAGGAAAAATTTTCCGCCCCAACATATGCCAAAGGAAGCTTTCTTTTCCTTGACCTCAGTTTTATATATAACAATCCTAGGTTAAAGGCGGACATCCACTAGATGACATTCATGCCTAAAATGGCTTCTTCAGTCTCCCTCACTGTTTTAAAATATTCATAACAGCGCTATAATAGACACACTATTCTTCTTAGAGTTATTTATTTTCTCTACAACCTTTTCAGAAAGTAATTTAAATTCTTCCATTCTTTAGCTAGAAAAGATTATCTTTTTTCCTCCTAGAAAATCCTAAGCTTTCCTTTTTCAGACTCTGCAACAGGAGTCTCCATATACAAATAAGGCTGATTCTGAGTGATGTTTGCTGACAGCCTAACAAACAATGCTTTGCTATTTTTTTCTTTTCTCTTTTTCTTGAAATTTGGCACCGCAGCTGTTTTAAACTCTTCCTCTCCTAGCGGTGGTGGTGTGTTAACCAGAGCCTGGAAACATTTACTGCTGCTGAGTCTAAAACATTTAAAATACAGAGCTCTTTTTCAAACAGGGAACGCGAAGGAGGGTGGGGGGGAAATGAAACCCCGCTCTGCAAAATGTTAAGCAGCTGCAACGGTGATAAATCAGGGTTAAGAATGCAGAAGAAAGAGGCCGTTTGGGACGTGTTTACTTAGAGGAGCATTCCGTGTATGGGTATTGCTCCTACAGGGGTGAAATAATGCTGGCTTCCTCTTTAGAGGTGAACCTCTAAGACGGAGAACTGAAACGTTTCAACCACATCAGCATTAGGGTGTATTCTGACAAACAGCTTAAGCTCCCCCTTTTCCCAGCTGAAGTCAGAGGCTGGGCTCTCAGGTGGGGATGTGATTGAAGGAGCTTCAAAGTGAAAGTCTTATCACTCTTCTCTGTGTATAGGGCCCCAAATTATTTGAATCAATGGCTCTTTTTTTCCTAGTGTCTAGGAATACCTCAAATCTTTTTTTGC